TGTTGGGTTCGGGGTCTTTCATTCTTCATCTGCCTGCGCGCAGTATTGGAGGTGAAGGATACCTGAGCGTGTGATGTTAATTTTACCTGTGATCCTTTGAATAAACCAGCACGGTTTTTTGTATCCACTTGGACCGCCTCGTCTCCCTGAGTTTCACTGGTTAAGAGTAACTGGGAAATATCTTTCAATGGTGCCGTGACCCGGATCCCAAAACAGCTCTGCCCGAGGCACACTATGTCACATCGAATTTTCTCTGCAGCACTTGTTGCTATGAGATACACATGTGAGGGGGGGGTCGCCCCTCACATAGGTTCCCGAGCCCGCCAGCGGGGGCCTGTACCGGACCGGTACAACAACATTTTTAAAGCAAATAAAATTATACTGACCATTTCCAAATATTCATATGTCAATACGCCCCCCATCTCCTCTTCTCTGCCATTTGCTTATTTCTGTTCCGTTTTCTCCTCTATTCATATCACTTTTTGGTTTCTCCTCTCCTCCATACTCCTGAAAAGAAACAAATATAAGACAAAATGGAATATTTAGAAATTCAGATGAAGTGGGAACCGATGACTACATAAATTAAATAATTATCTTCTACACCACACAAGTAATACACTAAAGAATTATTACAAAGTGTTAACATCTATACACCACACTCACAATGTTCCATCTGGTTAATCATTAAGCCTGTTCTTGCATATATCTTGATTGACCCATTCATTTGAATGGGTCAAAATTTTCAAAATAAAGCTAATAAATAAATAAAAATGTGACATATGCTCACTGAAAATACCTGTACAGATATAATTACATTCATTTCATGACTTTTCTGTAAATATAGTGTCTGTTTCTTCGCATAGCAATTGATCAGATCAATAATCAAGATTTCATGAACTTTCTCCACTCAGTAATTAAATGTAAGAAACGTATATTAAATACTACAGTAACTGCAAAGATATAAAATAAATATGTACAGTGTCACAAGGTCATAAAGTAGAAAAATGGGGGTGATTTTTAATGATGTTAAGGCAGATTAATAAGGGTTTTTTGCAAATGTAAAACTTTCCTAGAACTGATAATTGGTAAACAAACAAAAATGATGAGATATTTCACCAATTTATTTCTTCCTTGTTAGAGCTTCACTGCCTTTGTTATAAAACTGGTGAAAATCATCACTAATATGCTTAGAAAGAGCAGCTTTTCATCTCATTAATTCATCAGGCCTTGGTTTGGAGTCACTGCTGATTTAAAATAAACCACGTATCTGCATGAATACGGCTGAACATGGGAGAGTGGAGCATCAAATGTAGTGGAAGAGCGATGGGAGCTGCTCCTCTGTTGCTCAGTGGCCTGTTACAGGGATGCAGTTGACTACACCTCTGTGCCGCAGAGAGGCAGCAGGGAACATTGAATCTCTGCCTTTACATGCAAACAACTCGTGTGTTGATTTAGTAAGACACGTCTCATCTGGCAGTTTGCAGCACAGCTGGACAGTCTGAGTAGGAAGGAGCTGACCCTCCAGGCACCTGCCTTTAACACACAGGGCATTAATCACCCCTTGCATCCCAGTGTGCAGACACAGATGGGACTTCTTGGTGAAGCGCTATCTCCCGCTCCAGTCAAGCTGCGGCTGAATCAAACTCATAGTATCTTCTTCACGTTCACTGTGGCCAGTGGGACAGAAAGACACTGACCTGCATGATGTGGTAAATAAGTAACCGTCTACATTGTCAATGGGGTCCAGACAGAGAGTTAAATCTTAAATGGTTACTTACTATTATAAAAAGATGCTGTTTTCATTTAACTTTGTTTTCTGGGGACAAGTGATTCGTTCTACCTGTGTAAACTTCTCATCACCTCATCCACCTCTGGAAGCGTGGCAGTTCCTTTTTAATGTAAAAATTCACCTGCAGAGACATGACAGTAGCTTAAGACAAATAATCCCTCAGGGTGAAGAGCGTGCCCAGTATTGTTTAGAGTTAACCAGTAAAACAATTCAAACTGCTTGTAGATTGCCTCCCAGTTTCTCTTTGCTGACATGCAGTGTTGTCAAAGCTAATGTATTCAAGCTATAATTCACAATGGAAGAACATGAACTGCAGCAAAGCTACTTTATCATTTGGTTAATTCGAGTTAGGAAAAAGTCATTGTAAAGTGATGATCAAACTGACCTCAAGTTAGAAAATGTCATTGTAAAGTGATGATCAAACTGACAGTGTACATGTGATACAAAATGATATCAACATACAATGCAAAATGGTCATGTCAGCAAAACTGTCACTTACAGTAGTTAAGACCTAAACCTGTCCTAAATAAAACAAACCCATTTATCTATCTAATCAAGAAATAAGAAAGTTTGCAATTATGGAGATGGAACTGATATATATACAATATATGCATTGTAGTGTTGGTTGGCAGAGAGGCATTTGCCAGGATCCCCCTGAATGACTGAGGGGAGAAGCACTTGGTGGGATCTCCCATAATGCCCGTTGGGCAGGCCGCATATAGTTCAGGGGTGGCGAGATTGTTGTAGCAGTGCTGTGTGAATAAAAACGACAAGCTCTGGTCTCCTGGTCCTTCCTTTCTCCAGCCAACGTTACAATATTTTTCTTTATAAACGGGTCAAAACAAGCTTCACATGATTTACATATATAACTATTTAAACCTTTTCTTTATTCCTGAACATAAAAACATACATATTGCATGTTAAGAAGATGGTAGTAAAACCTGAAACATCCTGTTCCACCTTTGTGCTTCAGCAGCAGAGTGAGTGCTTATGCTTTGCTCAAAGCAGAGGGTGCCTCAGGTTTAGGTATTTCAACTCAGCTGCAGGAACAAGAGAAGGTTGAGCAGTAGAAAACTACATACAGCCAGTAAAAACTCAAGGCTTAGGTTCAAGGTTTAAATCCATTCAGACCAGATGGGGATGTCAGAGGCTTTAAACCTGCCACAACACACATTAGCTTTCTCCTGATAATTACAGAATTAAGCTCGCTGATATTTTCATGAAATTTTCATTGACATGAAATTCTACAAGGTGCAATTATGGGTTACATTAGTGCAAGAATTTCTCTGACTCAAATAAGAAGAAAAAAATATTCCAAGATTTTTGCATCTTGCTGGTCATTAGTCTGTAAAATAAATAATCTGACACCCCATTTAATTTGTCTGCTACAATGAGAAAGCACAAGATTTTTATTTACTTCATCATCAAGCTGTGAGTGGTGAGACAGACAATCTCTATCTGATGTTTGAAAGGGCATTTGATAGAAAAAAAGTCATATTACTAAACAGTTTACAAACATATACATCTTCTTATAAAATCTTTGGACAAACAGAAAGATAAAATGCTTTTCTTCCTGTATATGCCCTTGTTTTCTAAGTGAAGGTCTCACACACCACAGCAGCTGTGAAACTGAACAATCATCTATCTCATCCAGAAAAGCAAAATCTCCAACTCTGCTGAGGTGAGCAGATAACAGTTGTGCCATACAATATTACCCACATTTTTAGTGTACTAGCTGCAGGAAGGTGATAAACTGTGCACAGATATGAGGAGCTGATCAGCAGGCTATAATGTGTTACTTCTAAGTGTGTGGTGACCCTGTGGGCAACTTTTTCCATGGAAAAGCTTTTGTATGCTGTGATTTTAAGGCTGTGGCACCAAAGGATAGAATAATCTGAGCCAGACCAGATATAAAGTACTGTGGAGGTGTATGGCTGTTGGATTTTAACAAGTGTATCATGCTAAACAAGACTGGACTGCCAACTAGGCAAAGCTGGCATGTGCCCCAGAAGCTCCAGACCAGATCTGCAGTTGTATGATTCTTTGCAAATGTGTTTGTGAATATGCACAATGAATATCAGTTGAATTAGAATACAGATCCTGTATTATCAACTAATCCTGAGGCACTGTCTTGTGGAGCAGCTGTGCTGTTCACATCCCTCTGTGAATCTTTCTAATTTGTGTACTTGAAGGTGCAGAAATTGTGCACAGAAAGATCATGGTGGGGTTTCCAGAAAGATCCCAGAGAACATTTTTGCCCCATGGCCTCAAGGACAGGTCATGATGTTGCCAAAATTAGATTTACATGTTAAATAAAATCATAACACTCTTACTGGTTAAAGTCTACACAGAAAACTAAACAAATTTCTTTTGGTCCTCACTCAAAAAATAGTAAGCTACATAAACTCCTTTCAGATATGAAGTGAAGTCCTGACATTGTCGTGGTGTATGTGAAGAGGTGCAGGTGGGAAATGTCCAGCAGTCTGCTTGGACATTACACTGCTAGAGTATTTCCCCATTCAGTCTCTCATACCTCCAGAAGTGCTCTCTTCACACACTGCTTCAGGCCACTGGACTGCTGCTGGGTGTCAGTGCAGAGCATAGCACACAAGGTGCAGAGCAGAGAGAACACAGCAGAACAGACAGCAGGATTTTGTGTATTTTGGGCTGCATGGTATAAAATCTGCTTTTTTAAAAATCTACAAGTAGGTGGGGCTCCAAGAAGAAAGGTTGGGGACCTCAAATAGCAGAAAGAGAAATCAATGGCAATGATTAAATGTATAGATAAATATGAAGAAAACACAGAATATGCAGAAAATAAGAGTATATGCTAAAATAACTGTACTGGTGAAGCAAAAATGGTGATAGTTGGTTAATGCCCCTAACCATAATTAAACCATCTGATCAGAGAATAGGCTCTGTGTCATTCCAATTGACAAATGCATCTTTCCACCTGAAAAGAAAAAGAAAAAAAAAAGGTATTTGGGGCTGATCTATGATCCTTTATTACTTAAAGCTGTAAAGTATGCAGGTAATTCAAACACACCTTAATTAACAGTAGTTAAAGTCCCAACATTTTATGAATGTTTTCAGGATGTGCAGACATCATTGTGCATGTGAGTGTTAAGTCCATGTGTTACCTTGTTCGGATACAGTGCTCTAGTGGAGGAATGAGATCAGTGTCAGCATCCTGACAGCTCGTGGCCAATTTGCCAACAGCTAAAAAGTACAATCAATGAACATTTTCAGTTTAGGCAAACTCACAATTGGTGCAACAAGAAAATAACTACACACTACATTCTTCTGAACAGTCATTCATTGAGGCAGTTGGATTAAGAGAAATATAACAATCAAAACATAAAAGGACATGTAGTAAGACTGTGGGACAAGTGATGCTACATACAGACAGTGAGACGGATCTCCTCCTGTTGATTGGCTAGTCCGTCATAATAGTACAAGTCAAATTCCAGGTCTTTCTCTGAATTGGTCAACAGCCCCCTCTGCAGGCCAAACAGCACAATGGAGTGGCTTTCACTGCACACCACCCAGATAGGGTAACGGGGAGTTTTCAGGTAGGCTCCTACCTTAGATAGGAAGCAGAATGCAAGACAGCAAAGTCTAGTCTGTTGGCATGTTAGGCAAAAATCATTTCAAATGTTTCAACTACTCCATTGTCATATTAACATTGGCAAATAACAGCCTTCTTAAGAACATTCCTTGCTGTGAATGTGGGCATATCTGTCTCGCGGATGGTGCAGATGTGCCCATAATTACAGTAAAGAATGCCGCCTGAGGCCTTGTGCCTTCACATGTGGTCTGTCAGAGGCAGGGCAAACAGAGAGTCAGCCAACAATGTCACTCACTTTGCAGATGTTGTAATGTTCAAACAAGGACAGCAGGCCAACATCACATTGGCTTTTGATTCCCTTGAGTAAAGTCATGATGCCATTGCCTGAGTCTAACTCCATGTCATTGTCAAAAACATTAGAAACTGCTCTGCCACAGAGCAACAAGTTGACCAGCTCCTGGTGAGCACAAAGAGAAAAAGGCAATGTCAGTATAACAATGTATTTCCTGAATACAGTACAATTTGTTTTGTATGTTCCACTAAGATTCATCTGCTGTGGTGCCATCATCAACATTCTCTTACGTTCTGCATGCGCTTGTGTTACGTGATCACAGTACATCTTTGATTTTCCCCACGACAATTATTTGTAGTTGTTGACTGAAGAGCTGTATGTACACTCAAGGCTCTGAAGCAAGAACTGTTCAGTTCTACCTGTCAACTGTCACAAAAGCAACAAGCTTGAAAAAAAAATTAATAGTTTGAGTTTCTTGTTTCAGCTCTTTGTCAGTGTAGTGGTTACTGTGCTGTTCAGGCTTGTTCACACCAGCAAGCAGCACTGAAATGATAAAATTATGTATATTAAAAAAATGTGTTCAAGAATCTTAGTGAGGTAGTGACTACTTGTTAAGCTAGTCAGTTGATGAGCTAACTGCTAGCATGCTAATCACCCAAGTATTTATTAATTTTTTTATTCACACAGTGAGGAGAAAAAAATTGCCAGTATCCACAGAGTCATCAGACCAAAGTACAACAAACAGGAATGCAGAAGGAAACCACCAGAGGTATGAGGCTGACAGCGCTCAAAATGTCATCAATGAGCATCTGAGAAAAATTGAGGCATTGGAGTCAAACCTTGGTAAAACAGAGGGACTCATCCGTCAACTGGAAGGAGAACTGAACCACCTGAGATCTACATGTTTGATCTTGCCCTGCAGCACGACCAGCCTACAGTTATCACATGAGCACCAAGTGCAGCAAATATCAGCCTTAAGCCCCACAGTCCAAAGAAGCAGACAGGACCACAGCAGTCCTGTCCTTGTAGGAAGTGGTGACACTGTTTTGCCCGCTCCTTCTTCAGCTTCCACGTTTGAGACAAAGCCAAAACGTGTTTCCCTGTACAATGAAATTCTTACTTTGTTGTGGGTTGGGCAGGAGGTAGCACGGTCAGGGACAGAAAGAGACTCAACAAGCTGGTTAAGAGAGCTGGTTCTGTCCTGGACTGTTTTCTGGATTCCATCGAGGAGGTGGTGGACAGAAGGATGCTGGTAAAACTAACATCCATCATGCATAACCCCACCCATCCCCTGCACCACACAGTGGTGGCTCTGAACAGTTCTTTTAGCACAAGACTGTTACATCCCCAGTGTAAGAAGGAGCATTACCGTAGGTCATTCCTCCCCACAGCCATCAGAC